GGCCGAGCCATCGGAGCCTGGTGTGTGAAATAACGGTGCTGAGCGGTTTATTTCCTTTCCCTGTGCCGTAAACAAGGCGTCGAACACAATCAGTGCTCACGCTGTGTTTCCACCGGACGTGAGCTAAATTGAGAAGGCACCGGTGGTCGAACGTACCTAGACTCTTCAGGTCCGCTGCTTTAAGGTGCCAGGTTTCACAGCCGTACAGTAGGGTCAAACGTACCGCTGCATTGTACACTCTACACTTCAGGGCGAGAGTGATGTCGCGCCACCGAAATAAGTGGCGAAGGTTAGCAAAAGCGCCTCGCGCTTTTGCTATACGGTTCGTGATCTCATCTTCAATCCCACGGGCGCTGATACAACTTCCCGGGTAGTTGAATATTTGAACGACTTCTAGCTGATCCCCACCAAGGGTCAGCGTAGGAGGCGGTCCACGCCAATCTTGGAGGAACGCTTTGCATTTCGAGGGTGCGAAGCAAAGCCCGAAGTGACGGACAGCCAGTATTTATCTGTCCAGTGCCGCTAGGCACGTTTGTGAGCTGTCACAGATTAGGGCAATATCATCAGCATACTCTAAGTCAATAAGTCGTTCTCCTGGGAGCAGATCCACACCTTCTGGGTCTTGTCCTGTAAACGCGATTTCCATGACTTCATGAACACAGAAGTTGAAGAGGAAAGGTGACAACGGACATCCTTGTCTCACACCGCTGGAGATAGTAAAGGGCGATGAAAGCGTGCCGTAACCCCTAACACTGCTTGAGCTAAGCGCGTATAATGCTTGGATAATATTTAAATATTTCACAAACACACCTTTCATAACTACACAGTCCAAAGTGCACGTCTATCCACCGAATCGAAGGAACCTATGATATTGAGGAACACGACAACGGTGGGCCGCCAATGTATGTAACGGTTCTCCAACAAATGACGCAAGGTGAAGACGAGGTCAATGCAGCCACGACCTCGACGAAACCCGGCTTGCTCTTCACGAATCTGGCTTTCACGAGTGCCAGTCAGTCTGTGAAGGATGACAGAGGCAAGCAATTTAGAAGCGATGGAGACCAGACTGATTCCTCTATGGCTGCCGCATTCCGATCGTCAGCCTCCCTTGAAAATTGGAACTATGACGGAGCGGCTCCAGTCGGTTGGGACAGTTTCCTGCTCCCACAGTTTGACTAGTAATTCGCGTAAATCATCAACAAGAGCAGGACCCCCGAAGTTGAAAAGGGCTAGAGGAAGATCATCTGGTCCTGCGGCTTTATTTAACTTCTACAGTTCGATCTCACTTCGATTTCTGAGCGAGAGGGTGGATCCAAATGGACAGCCAACGGAGCGGGGCGATCAGTGGCCGGCGAGTAATCTAACAATTCCGGCCGATTAAATTGCCTTTCAAAGTGCTCAGCCCAATGCTCCAAGCGTTTTGATAAGTTGTGGAAAGGCTGTCCACTCTCGTCACAAATTGTATCACCAACACCAGGTCTCCTGCTGCCCGTTTCCCGGATCAGCCGGAATAACTTTCCATGGTTACCAAGGGCAGCGGCCATTTCCATTTCTGATGCACGATGAGACCACCAGGATTCGCAGCCACTCTTCAGGCTAGCACGGAGTTTTGCCCGGAGCCCTTTGCGAGTTCCATTGTGTTCGCTTCCAACCGGAATATGCCGGCGAGCATCTATAAGTTCTAGAGAATGTGAAGAGACCCAATGTCCATGTTGGCGATTAGACATACCACATGAGGATTTTCCTGCTGCAAGTAAGGTCTGGTGAATATGAGACCAGTGACCATCAATTGTATGCAGTGGGCGTTTATCCAACTCGCATGACAGTGTAATGTGATAGGCATTCAGAACAGCTGGCTTCGCCAGTTGGCTGGTGTCAATGCGCTCACAACGTCGTCGCGGGCGTCCGCCAAAGCGCATCCGCAGGTCAGCACATACAAGTGCATGATCGGTGTCCACACCTGTGCTCCAAATCGAGCGACAGTTCTGGATGCAGCCTCTCCATCGGTAACTCATCACATCGATTTGCGTCCATAACTGGTTCGAGGCTGGTGAGCGCCAAGTCACCCTCCGGCTGGTGCTGTGTCGGAAATTAGTGCTCGCAAGAAATAAGCGAGCATCCTCACACAAATGAAGTAATCGCTCACCGTTACCATTACGGGAGTCTACACTATGTTGGCCGCCCAGATGCAGCTCATCTGTGGATAATTTTCCAACTTGAGCGTTCAGATCCCCAGCCAGCACTACAGTGTCCGAGCTACTTCTGTGGCTAAGGAGCTCGTTCAGTTGGCGACAGAAGTCGTCTTTTACCGAGTCATCGCTACAGTTTGTCGGTGCATAGGCAGCGATAACGAATAGACACCTGTTAGTCTCACGCAACTTCGACGCTTTGAACGAGCCAGCCAATCGGACCGCACACAACCGGTTACTAATTGGAATCCAATCAACCAGAGTAGCTTCAGCCCGGGGGCTCAGGGCAATACCAACATCAGGTTGGCTGATGCTCGAAGCTGCATCGTCACCGGATAGGCGCAATGAGAAAGTGCTGTTGGTGTCACCTGAAGGGAATCGCAAAGTGAGCACAGAGCTCGAGTCTTGCAGGTAGGTCTCTGATAAGCAGCAGACAGATCGAGAGGGTCTCTAATGTTCGTGCAAGTGCTGCCTGCTGACCGATCTGAAGTAATGTGCGAACATTGAGGCATGCCAGTCTGAAGGAGGATCGAGGGCTCCAAATGGAAGCCGATGAACTGGAATGGGCCGCTTGCTTGGACATGGCCCTGTTGATAGCGCAGGAATGGCGCTCCGTGTTCACACGTGAGTTGAAACTGAAAGACAAGCGACTATTGAAGCAAGGTGGGGGAGGGCCGAGAATTGGGGGTTGGAAACAGGAGGGATAAAAGTGGGGCTGGAACGGGACGATAAGGGTGAAAAAGCGCAAGAAGGGGAATAAGAAGACGGGAAAGCTTGAGCAATAGCATCCAAACCCCTATCCACCCTGCTCGATGCAGCAGATAGGGCACCACTGATTATCCTCTGCGGTGGCCAGAGCATCAGAAATTTGTTTGAAGAGAGATTCATTGTATTGTGTGGGAAGGGTACTGTCAGGTTTCCCAGGCCTAGACAGGAGAACGATTACGGTTCTCAACCAAAGCGTTCAGTTGAAAAACCTGACCGCAAGGCAGCGGGTTTGGCATTGGGTTACAAGGAGTCCGTATTAAGGAATAAGGAGCCACCCTCATTCCAGCCCCCAATCTGGAGGACCAGGAGGCTGAGTTTGTGTGGCCTCTAACCATTGACCAATCTGGTATGAGTGGCTCTGAGGGTGCAAAAATGCACCACCCAGCATAGCGCAATGGATCACTGAGGCACACAAACCATCGCACCACGGTAAGGTAAGGACTGTTAGCTAGCATTTTGGCCAAACGAATGTTGAGCTAGCTAGTCTAACATAAGTACCAAAGATAGGATGTTGAAGGTGACTAATTGCTGAAAGCTGGAGGAGTCAGCCCTATCACTCTACATCACCATAATCCCCATACACGCTTTACTGGACCATAACCCACAACCCCGCGAAACCGACGGACAGGCATTAAGTGGTCATGTGCTTCCCTACCATTAATGAGTTCCGTTGCAAGAATGAGGCAGTTCAAAAGCGAGAGGATTCAAGGTAAGAACTTCGACCAGATGGACATGATTAAGCACAGCTGCCAGGTCGCTAAATAAATACTACTGATACGGTCATGATGTGAGGTGCTGCGGCCCGGGGAAATCGTTGTTGTTAGCATCAAGCAGTTGTTTGAAACGAAAACGCCGGCCTGAAAAATAGTAAAATGTTCACATGCATCAAGAGAATATCTTTCTGGGTATCACACTGAACGGGGCAATCAGCTGAATTAAAGGAGCATGTGAAATCAACAAACATGGCGGCGGTCCTCATACCGAGCGCGCTACGGTGTCTTAACATTGGTCTCAGATGGAAAATGCGGTGAATGTCATCCTGTTGAAAGCCTGCTTGCTCTTCTATCATTCGGGATTCCCAGTTCGCAAAGAGAAGGTAAATAATAACTGATGCCAGTGTTGAGTTGACACCCGTGAGACTGAGGCAAATGTTGTGACTAATCTGTTTTCATATTGCCAACACAATCGATTAGCCCTAGTTAGTAGGGATGGACCCATCCATCCATACCTGTTAAAAGACAAATTGATTCTTTGCAAACGATCTCAAGTAACCTGAAATAGCCCAATTACGAGAGGATCCGGATCAGCAACAAGGACGCGATTGAGAAACGATATGCGGTCTCTGAGCTAAGTTCTAATGACTCAACCTACATAAGCTGAGTGCAAGAAATCTTAACAGGCATAGAGTAAACTGTAGCCTTCCTGAAGATGCGCCACCAAAACAGAAAAAGGATGTTTATGTTTAAACGAATAAGAGTGCTGACGCCAATCCTCGTTTTCTCACTAATGGATGATTTATTGAGACGAGTAATGCAGGTTAGTTATAAGGGTCTGCAGTACTTACTCGTCCCCAATGACCTCGACATTTTCCGAGCCTTCTGGGTTTCCTTGTTAGCTACTATGCGTCAGTTTAGTTTGCATACGACAGCTCATGTGAACACATTATGCCCAGTGACAGAAGTTTCTCTTTTAAATTCCAGCGCGTTCACCGACCCTGCTGATGAATTCCGTCCGTCGGAATGGCAAAGAGCAAACACTCTGGTACCATACGTGACAGTATAGATGCCAAGCCCCCAAACTGGATCAACTCAGGGCAAAAATCCGAGGCGTCATTCGAAGAGCAGACAAAAAGGTGCAAACCAAGAGACCTGCGTCTTCCCGGAGTCCTAGGAGAACTCGGACTATGGACTCTGTATATTAGATGGTTATAGAACAACGTGTCTAGTGTGTAAAAGGCAGGTAAGTGACATTCGCTCAAAAATTAACTGAAAGCAAACAAAAGATTCACAGATGTATAAAGTTGCTGAACAGGTGTGCACCTACCCGGAAGCTATTTCGATTGCCAGTGAAGACAACCCGTTCCCCAGAAGGAGTGAATTTGGCAGACGAAAGTGGATAGTTTTCGAAGACGCGATCTCTCAAAAGCGCATTCTCGGTCCCATCGACCTAAAAACCAAGACAAGTTAAATAAAGATTGGACGCCTTAGTATGATTGATGTATGGAATGAGTGGCTTAACAGAGTGAGCACGATAATCCCGTACTCGAATCAACGAGAATTTCATGACATGCGAATCCATGAGCTGGCCGACCGAGTGGAAACTGCGAACGAACGAACACGGGATAACCCTTGACATTGGTACTAAGGTTAGTTACCTAGGATATGCAACGAATTCAAATGAGTGACTCAGAAACTAGTGAACACATTTGAAAAATACGGGTGGGATTCTCGTCTCTGACAGTTGTTGATTACGGGGTAGTGTTTATCCCTTATGGTGCAACCGGGCAGACAGCTGGTAACCGAGGTTTAGCAGTACACCGTCCCCCACATAAGCGGAACAGCCTATGTTTCCTAGTCCAACTTGTTCATATTTCTGTGGATCATCTACTGTGGTGTGTGATGTTCTTCGACAATGCGTTTTGTTGGGTGAAGCTGGAGAGTAACCAGTAAAAAGAGGAACGGAAAAATGAGTCGCGCTAGAGGTTGGCGTCCCTCTGCATTGAGACCTCGGGAGCGAGGATACGTGTGGCCAGTAACGTCATTTGACGGAAAAACCGATGTTTGGACTGGGCCACTCAATTGATTTCTCAAACCTCATTTCGGTAGGATATCTTTTGCTCCCACACTTCGTTTTTAGTTGCAATGTTATCAAGCCTTAGCAATGGCAACGCAAGTAACGGAAACAGGATTCACCACATTACAGTATGCGGGCCAGAGTAGGTAAAGTTGAACGAGCTGATCCCAAATGGGAAACAAAGAAACGCCATGAGACCGGAAGGTTCTCCACCGTTCGGTTTTACTATAACAAAACAGTGAGAAAAATATGTAGCTGTTAGCAGTGAATATGTAACGGCTCAACAGGCGTTAGGATTACGTGTCAACTAACACATTCCTCCTCCTATTTTAGAGCAACTGGTAACCGTATATCAAGGTGGTGCTTTAAGACAACAGAAGAACGACGGTTGCGCGGACATTTAGTGTTGTTTGACTCGCTCCTCCTCGTCCTCCTCTCAGTTTCCTCTGACGCGATCTCGACTGTAATCTGGCTACGTCGTTTTTTCGCGTGCGCAACTACTTCCCAAGTGCTTCCTGTGTGTTTATCTGCGTCCCCTCCACCTGTGTTGTTGTCAATGTTTCTTCCGTAACTCTTTCTCCTCATCCCCAACATTGTGGATAATACATTATCCGATTATCCGTTCCACTGCTCTCTCTGTGTGTGTGTGTGTGTGTGTGTGTGTGTGTGTGTGTGTGTGTGTGTGTGTGTGATATCGTATCTGCCGCGTGTCAGTTCTAAAGAACACCAGCTCACGAGCCGACGTATATCACTAATGATGAGGTACAGGGAATGGGGAGCAGTATGTGCTGCTTCATTCGGAGGCATAAATTCCCATCCTCCTGTTTTTACACTTTTATTAATATTGATTTAAAAAAATGGTAGTATTTCTTTGAGAGACTTGTGTACATCCAATTAGATGAGGAATCTTTCAATAGGATGAAAGTTAACCTCGTCGCAAGGGGACTGGACCTTAACATGGTGCGACGGCTTGCGTACTCCTTGATCCATTGTTATACTGGGTGATGCCTTCGGGCCCCTTGAGAGCTACTCCTACCAGGTTGGTCAGTGGTGAGAGGTCAGAAAATCTCAGTCTCCTTGTCCTTCAGATTGGGTTTTGTAATAGGATGGCGTCCATTTCTGTAAAACTAAATCATTACCACTCCCCCCGCTGCCTTGCGAACAGGCTTTTGAACCAAAGGCTTTGGATGTGGACCCTAATCGTCCTCCTGTCTAGGTCTGGATGCCCTGACAGTAACTCAGCCCACATACAACCATGACATTTTCTTCAAACATATACTTCATCCTGCATCGGCCGTCGCGCAGATTATCAAGGGTCGCCTTATCTGCTGCATACAGCAGGGCGGATAAGTGAAAAACATGCTACTGCTGGCGTCTCCCTTCTTTTCGACCTGTTTCTCTTACTCCCATCCCGATGCCGCTTACTAACCTTCCTTCTATAATTCCCAGCTTAATTGACAGCAACCGAAGTGCCACTGGAGTAGAACCATCTGCAGCCACCTTCTCGTGATACGCACCGGACGCCTATCGGCAACAGTCCTTTATAAGGCCACGTTGTCCCATTTCCATGGAAACGTTCAACGTTCGCACCCAAAGACAAATAGGTCAACAGGCTGCACTCGCACGCACCTTGGACACACTGGGTATTGATATGTGTTGTGTGTCCGAAACTAGGATTAATGACCCTAATGGGATTGTTGTATTGACTGCACCCGGCTTATCCTCTCGTTATTGGTTGCACGCATCCGGAAACGCCGATGCAGCACTCACGGGTCAAGCTGGTGTAGGTATCATTCTCAGCTCCCAGATTGAGCCATCGTTAATTGATTGGATTCCGGTGAACAGCCGTTTATGTGCAGCCCGTTTGACGACATCAGCTAAGGTGAATTCACGAAGTAAAACAAAACGCTGTTTGTGATTTCCGCTTATGCTCCCATCAACTGCAGCTTAAATGCTGTCAAGGACACATTCCATCACGAACTGAACGCGCTACTACGCAGTGCCACTAGTTCAGATATTATAGTACTTGCAGGGGATATGAACGCACAAGTAGGGCGTCTGAGCTCTTCAGAAGCTCAGCTTCACTCCGGACTGACAACGGTGAGCGTCTGTTGCAACTGTGTGCGGAGCACCAATTTTTTATTACTAGCACTGCTTGTAGACACAGTGGGCGCCGAAGTGCCACATGGCGTCCTCCTGTAGGTGGCCAGCGATGGACCCAAATTGACCACATTACCATAAGTTACAGGTGGCGTGGTTCCATCTTGGATTGTCGCTCGTACTGGAATACCTGCAACGACCCGGATCATGCCTTGGTACGCTGTCGTTTCTCCATGAACTTTACCGGGAGGCGCACCGAGCGTCTCCTCCGATTAGTAAGTGAGAAATTGTTTCAGCCCTCGGTCAGGCAAGCCTATCAAGACGCACCACGTACCGAACTTTCGCTGTATTGTTCTAATGCCACTGAGCTTCAGTGGAATAGGATCTCGGCCGCCATGCACGACGCAGGAGCATCTGCTTGTGGCACTATCAATCGTCCCCGCACCAGTCACTGGAGATCTGATAGGTTGGTGTACCTGTAGGAATCCAGAACAAACCTCCTGGCTGGCACTGAGCACAATGTGACCTGGCGGGCCATTAGGCGCGAACTAAAGCGGAGTCTGCGTGTTGACAAGGAGGCCTGGTAAACTAGTCGAGCTAAAGAAATGGGGGAGGCAGGAGCAGTAGGCAACTGCTGCAAGCTCTTCCAGCTGATCCGCACCACTGGTCCCAGAAAACCAGGCGTCAGTGAGACAATCAGAGACAGCGCGGGTGAACTGATACACAATAAGGAACGCCGTATGGCTCGTTGGGCAGAACACTTTCAAGATCAGTCCAGCTGGCCCCCTGCTCCCGAACCTCTTCCTACTCAGGTGATTTAGGACGCGTCATGGACGGTTAGTTTAGTGCCTCAGTCGGAGGCCGAGGTCCGAAACGCGGTCACAGTCCTAAATCGTTTTCGTACCGCCGGCCCAGATTCATTCCCACCAGCAATATTTGAAGATGGAGATGAGGTTCTCTGCAAAGCGCGGACCTCTCTATTCGAACGTATCTGGAAGGAAGAGTGTACCGACTAATTGGAGCGAATGGATGATTGTAGCAATATACAAGAAAGGCAGTCGCACAGACTGTTCCAACCACAGGGGTATTAGCCTAACGCCAGTTGTGACAAAATTATTTGCATCGATTCTCGTTCGTCGCCTCACTGTGGAACGGGAATCTCGGATTAGGGAAGAGCAGGCCGGTTTCCGCCAAGCACGCGGCTGTATAGACCATATATTCACTTTGCCGCAGGTGCTAGAGCAACGCCACGCATACCGCAGACCGACAATAGCTGTGTTCCTCGATTTCAAGAGTGAGTACGATTCAGTCGATCGGTCGTTGCTGTTCGAAATACTTGCGCGGAAAGGTGTTCCCATGAAATATGTGAACATCCTACGTGCTCTATACTCGAACACTACAGGCCACGTCAGGGTTTACGGTGGCTTATCGAATAGGTTTCCGACCACAAGTGACATTCGTTAAAGTTGTCGGATTTCCCCATTTTTGTTCAATTTCGTTGGTTGTAGCATGAAATGTTCTCTTGCGGAATCGCACGATGTGGCGGCCAGCGGCCGAGTAGTATGCGCGTCTGGTTTGCAACCATAAGGTCACCGGGCGTCCTCGCGGTATACACAGCCCACGAGCGACTGGTGATGGTCGCGGGGCAGCGAAGCGCCGTCACGGCGTACAGCTGGCAATTTAATATTATTTATTATCCCACGATGCAGGCGTTGAGGTCCTGCGTTGTGAAAGATTAGTTGATCTTGATTATGCGGACGATATCGTCTTGCTTTTCGACGATATTGCGGCGGCACAATCGACCCTGGATAACCTGTCTATAGTGGTCACATTATTTGGTATGCACTTCGCACCCGCAAAGTGAAAAGTATTTCTGCAGGACCACCAGCCACTTCATGACCTCTTGGCCCGTGCTAACGAGGAGCTCGAAGTCGTTGATAAATTCATTTAGCTTGGCAGTTGCATCAGCAACGATGAGCGCATAGAAACCGAAATCTGTACACTCGATGCAAAGGCCAGAGCTACCTTCTTGAACCTGCGTCATCTTTGGCGCCAGGAAGGGGTTTCCTTCCGTTCGAAAGGCCGTGTTTGCACAGGCACAGTGAGGGCCGTTCTACTTTATGGTTGCGAGACTTGGCGCCTTCAAGTCTTTGATCACCGTTGTCTGCGAAGCATTGCTAGTGTCGTATGGTACCAGCGTGTCCGCAACGATGATGTGCGTAGGCGAGTACTAGGTAGTGCTGATCATGCTAGCTCCCTAGAACAACAGATAGCACTGAATAAGTTGCGTTGGCTCGGGCAGGTGCTACGTATGCCTGGTCACCGCTTACCTAGGAGGGCCTTGTTTAGTCTGCCAGGTGTAGGGTGGCGCAAGGCTCGAGGTGGACAGGAGTTGACTTGGCAGCGGGAAACGAAGTCACTGACGACCAAACTGGATGCCGTTAGTCCGTCTCGTCTTCCGGGTTGGAGTCCACGTGACTCACCTTGTGCTTGGCTCGAGACTTTACAGGACGGCTCGCAACCGACACCAGAAGCGCGTCTGCTGCCGTCTTCTAATCGGATTGAGTTTTTAAAGTGTGTTTGGTGCTGAGTTATCTGCGGAGTAATGGCTGATTATAACGCGTGGCAGTGAAAGCTGCAAGGAAGCTGTCTCGCTGATGCCACCTTATCCTTGCACCATAGCCAGGTGTTTGTGACGGTATGTTGTTAACACAAGGTATAGGCGCCTTGACCTTGAATGTTTGCTTAGGGCATTAAGGTTTTCAGGTAAGTCCCCTTTCTCTCCTTCTTATTATTCTTTAGTTCATAGGTCATCATGGTTGTATGGCAGTGAAGCATCAGTTCAAATAGATGATGTACTGCTGTTGTTGATTGATTGGTTGATAACCTCATCGTAAACCACTTATGAGTGACTGCCCTCCCAAAGTGGACCTATGCGTCGGAATCAAAGGTTAAAGAATGAAAAGAAACATACGACGAATATGCGCTGCAGTACGTTTGGACCAGGGGTAAAAAGGTGTGGCACAGAAGAGACTGTAGCAAACATAGTAAAGGTATCAAGATGGGCCATGTAACATAAAAAGGCATCAGCAGTACCCCCGATTCGCAGCCGCGGAACTACCACCGCTCACAAGTGGGCTAGGGATACTGCGAGGGTCGCCCCGCCCCAACGCAGGCTCGAACCCAGGCCGCAGGATTACAAGCTCCTTACCTCTAGGCTATGGGCAAGCATAACGGCAGAAACATGGATGCCCAGTTTGATGTCTATCACATGTGTCTCATAAGAGATGGAAAGCTTTGGGGAATAAGCTAAACAATACTCCCACTTCAAACTTGTGCAAACCCACAGATGAAAGCCGGTTCAACTTTAATATTATATAAAAGGTATAAGTGACCAGTCCACTAAGCTAAGAGTTGCATTCGCTCAGGTTGTTGGCGTGTGAAATTAGGGTGAGTGAGAAACAGCATAGGAAGATGAATGCGCTACGAAAGTGATAGATCAAAAGTGAGAGTGGGTAATCTGCGGCACTCCAAAACAGCAATTTTCCGCAGGTGGTTGGTAACACCAGCTAAGAAGCGATGGCAATGTTACACACTGAGTTGCGTGATGAATATTCAATTGTATGGTTCGATAGACTATCTGAAGAATCATCTACCGACAGGCGGAGAATGTAAGATACATGACGGAGGGTTGAAGTCCTCATGGCCAACCGCTTGATAGTAAATAATATGTGACACCATTAGTATGAATCACGAAAGGGAGTGTGATCTTGATAACGAAGCTAATGCAGATCTAATAAACTTGTCCTGAACAAAGACAAAAAGACAAGATGCCACTTGACTATAATGATAGCTATGAAAGCTATCGAAATAAAAACCGAATACATGTGCTGACGGAGCAGAAGCCATTAGGTGAGAATTATCACGCGAGATACAAAGTCCGATCAAATGTCTGCAGCCAAAAAAGATAGCTACAAGGACTGTCGATAAATTATTTAGTTACATCGAATAGCAGAAGTATTAAAGGAGCCCACGCATAGCAGCCTTTGGAGCCGCTCTTATCGCTAGCAACCCAGAGAAGTTTGGCCAGAAGCAGCCTGAAACCAATCGGCTAGCCAATGAAAGTGGTTCATTTTTGAATCTATTAATGAGTATGATATACCTTGAAGTTCGCCACTGAGCGCAGTCTTTGGATGACCAACAGGCGTATTTTTAGGTATCCAGTAGTTTCTAGGATGGAGGAACTTTCAGCTAAGTCATTCTCTTATGAACTATAAGTTCGACCCCATCTCTGGCTGTATATATTGCTTGCCGGGTGCTCAATAGTGATTTTGCCAGTTGCCTTTGTTTTCGTATCCGGGAAGTCGGCCGGTTCAGATTGCGCAATAGCAGCAGGTTATATGTGCGGTCAGCGGAAACCACAACAGGAAGAACATAGAATATTGGATAGATCGACTAATGAAAAAAACTGTTCAAAGGACTATGAGGGCAACAGGTGGTTAGATGACGTGGTCGATGACGCGTTGGAGCGGACCTGAAGAGGAACAAGCAAGGCGTAAACATCCTTTCATACGGAGAAGTTCGATACGATTGAATGCAGAAGAGACATTAAGTATAACGTATACAAGTAAGGCATATACTCAGGTCGTGGGTTCCACAGTTAAAGAACCACTGGACTACAAGTGAAAAGTGAAAGTTAGCGATTGGAAGAGCTCAGTGTGAATACCGAAATCCTTAAAAGTATGATCGTCCACTCCCACATCACAGTGATGCTGTCAAAAAAGCGGATGTCTTACGTGCAAGGAGAAAGCGGTGGGTTTGCAAGAACTCTAGAAGTGAAGGAAGCTGTCTATTGGGACAACGATAGCACATAAGGCTTGAATACTCACGATGGCACCAATCAGCGCGATGTTGAGCATCGCCACGAATGCATTCCCTGAAGTTGCCCGTGGTCTCTTGTGGCCCTGGGGTCTTTCGACATTTGCCTTGTGTCACACCGTTAGTTTAGTCCACGAGTTGTTGATCCCTGTTCGATCCGCTCGTGTCTACTGTTCCATCTTGGTGGAGTAGCATTCCATTCTGGCGCACCAGACTTACAAACCTGTGTATACTAATAACCTAGCGCTCCCCAAATTGGTCCCTTCATCCCTTGCGTTCATGCGCCCCTGTTGCCAAGGTGCATTAAAAAAGCAATCGAGCCCAACTGAGCCGAAATTATCCGAACACTAAAGTAAGCCAGACCCAGTCACCATGATTTCTGAAAACATGACTAAAAACAGTAACGATAAGGAAAAACGAGAAAATGTGCCCACAATACAAAATTAGCAGTGGCAAGGGAAATCGGTAGAGAGCGCATAAAAGAATAATACGGAAGAGTGGAGAGTAATAAATTACTGTGGGCGGATGAAGAAAGGCTGAGTATCAGGTTCGTAAGGCGTACGTTAAAGAAATATCAACGGGTAAATACATTTGTCAAACAAATGTGCATGTCACGTTCGTTTAAATACCAGTGAGCTGGAGAAGTCCTCCGGGGTAAAATTAATGCGATTTACCTTGAAAAATGCCAAAGTGCTATCCGCGCTGCCGGTGAGACACATCTGGCAAACCGGGTTGAAGTGGACCGAAACGATGGCGCCCATAGAAACGCGTTCACGATTAACATCAAAGACCCGCCGAATATTGATAGCTTTTGACTGGGGTAAGTGTCCGGAATCGTCTTCCCTGAGAATGTTGGATACAGCCGTCAACTGCCGACCATACTCCGGATTGTCAAAATCAGTATCTGTGGTGCCATCGTGGCGATTCGATACATATGAGTTAATATCAAAAATAGGCGGTGGACTAAACACTGTAATAAATGAGTGCGGATAACTACCGGACGTATTCGGTTGGAACATAATCTTCGTCATCCGTCCATACGGGTTGCAGTGTAGGTTTCTTAAAGTTGGGTTCCGTGGAAAGATCCTTCCGTTTAGAGAACTTTTTACCCGACTTCTTGCGCTGAACATGGCGGATAATGACGAAGCTTGCATGAACTAACCTTTTCGTCAACACCTGTAGTAACAATCTGAAATTCCGAAATTCCGGGCGACTTTCCAAAACGTAACATGATAGAAAAAAACACTGTAAAAGCTGTAAAAGAGTGTACATGAAGTAAAATGGAGTATAATGTATATCCTTCAAAGTATGTCAAAAAATCGTTCGTGAAATGGTAACAGCATCAGCAGCGTACAGATTAAGGGTAAGGGTTGCCACTCGGCCACATAGTTGAGTTCGATTCAGTTGATCAACTATGATCCGAGCACTGAAGTGCGCTGGATCCTGTTGCCAAGAATCAATTCGCAAGAACAACAATAACGGATACCGGTAAGATGGTGGGGTTACAGGCAAATAGAATGTACAGAAAATGGAAGCAACAAGGAAGTGCGTTAAACTAATCAGAATGGAACGAAAATTAACAACCAGATGAAAGAAGCCGAACGCAGGGGCGCAACTGACTGCGCCACGTCAGATACGATCTCTAACTATTCGTGTGGACCATCCCGAGGCCCCCATTAACGGAGACGGCACGCAACCGCCTAACCAAGTATCTCGGTCAATTTCTTCATGCCACTGTGCCTCGTCATGGACCGGCCACCTAGCGGTTTCATCCAACTTAGTGCAACCGACCAACGGACATACGGAGGACATGGCCTAGCCAACGTTGACGATTAAGATTCAGCAAACGCTCGAGAGAGGCACCAGATAGCCTCTCCCCAAAAACCAACTGGAGGACCTCAGCATTGCTCAGTATTTCTCAGTGTTACCACCAGACGTGAGTAGTACTCCGCAAGCACCTGTAGTCAAACACGGCAGTGTTTAATGTCTTTGCCGCGAACTAGTCAGGCCTCTGATCCATAGAGTAAGATCGGCCTTATCGCAGTGTTATGCACCCTACCTTTCACTGACAGGCTGTTATCCCGCCGTCTCCATAGATGGTTGAGTCTCTGGAACGCCACATGGGCCTTGCTGATATGCGAAGTAAGTTCCTCCGTGATGTGACCACCACATAGTGGAATTCTGATTGTGCAAATGTTCCTTAGAGAAAAGACAAATTGCCCGTTGCAGGAATTTAGTTATATTTTAATGGTACAGATAAATCGATGTTATTGATGTGTGGTGGTCGTAGAAAACGACAGAAAACAAAAAGAATGACAGGTGAATCAACCAAGTTCAAAATGATTCCAGTCAAACAGTCGTCATCAAATGCTGACACGGGTGATTCCTTTAATCTAGATATTCATATAGCGAATTTGTTAAATACCAGTGAACCCTAGCTATAAATCTAACGGAAATATGGGCTAGAGTTTGTTCTAGTTCAATTTATCAGCTATCATCAGGGCAATGAATAGCCGTGAATGAATAGTTATTTTGACCACTGGAATCATCAAACTTAAAAAGTTACGAAGCTAGTGGACGGGAATGGGAAAAGAAGGACTGGAAAAACAGAACCATCGATACCAAAAAAGTGGATACAAGAGAGTCAACAGTTTCACTAAGATACTAGGTCAGAGTGTTTCTAGTCACTAACACGTTTAGTCCTGCGGCAGCATTCAAGGAAACAACACGTATTGCATTGCGCTTGTGCATCTCAATGTCATGACATTACCTGACCACTTAGAGGACTAGATGGAACTAAGAATACTCCCTAAATGAAATCGCCATAAGGAGAGGTTGATAGGAATAACCTGAGAAGCTTAGATTTGTGAGTCCGAAGCAATCTCGGAAGGTGTAGTATACAAATAGATATTGAATGGGCTTGTGTTGCGAATACGTTCCGCTCCTGATGCAAGAGTTGGACTCAGTCGGTCCCAATCCTATTCCGAATAAGGAATACTGAATGCCGAGAATAGAGTCTGTGTTGCTTCATCGTAGTTAGGATGAGCACGTGCGCGGAATCACGGCATTGACTTATGCGCGTTTGCAGCATATTACAGCTGCATTATAAGCCATTCGGGTACGATGCGCTCCCTAAAGTTGATTTGAAAAGTGGGTGTTTAGAATTGCTTAAATTCCGACACCAATTTCGCCTCGACCATTTTTTAAGGCAAACTGTCCTATGATGCCACCACTCGCCGCTCGAAACAAAGAGGGTGAGCTATCCGCTATAAGTCCGGTGCCAGTAGCTTGTACCAGTGGACGCAAGCACTGCTTGGTGCGCGCACGTGCAGCAGTGGCCTCAGCATGGAGAAGTGACCCAGATGCAATATCCGATGCGTCATTATGAGCTCCACTCGAAATCGACTATAAGACAGGGTGCACAGCCCTAGTCCTCCGCATCACTCCTCGTAGGACAAACCCCAGAAACTAGGGGCGAGTTTGGTAGCTATGTACTGAATCCGTTCCAGTCTCTGCATCTCGCTACGGGTAATCGGATAATAGACGAGTGATTCGTACTCGAGCATCGGTCTCATGATGGAAGACCAGAGGCGAGTGGCCGTATGGCGTGTTGGTATAACGGTATCTCTCCGAAACTCAGATTCAAATGGCCAACCAAAGCCGTGCGACAGAACACACGGAAATAAGCTAGAAAATGTTTATTAGAAGGTTGCTAAATCTTAAGACTAAAAATAGGGCACCGGAAGATGACTAGCTAGGGAGTATGTGGTAGGGTGCTGAGTGCGATGGGAGAACCGAAGTTCTTTTCGAAGCCGGCGGACAAAGTACGAATGTTGTCGGTGTCCCATACGAACATGTGCACCATCATCATCATCATCATCAGTATACACGTTAGCTAGGTGTGAAACACCTCAGCTACTGTGTCGCAATACATAAAATAAAAAAGGGGAATGCAACAGGTGTAAGCCAGCCAATCTACCAGTAACGGATGGGTATCGTTCCGGTAAGCTACCAGCCGGCTACTAGGTAGCAAAAAAATAATTACTGTGCAAAATTACATAAGGCTATATAGTGAGACCGTGGTTGAGGAGGAGCTTAACAGGGATGGGGTGGGACAAAGAAACTCACAACATGAACGCCACTGAGGTCGGCTCTTGGACATATCAGCTAGTGTATCCAGCCAAAAGTTTTCATCATCTTTCGGACCCCAATCAGGGAGCCGAGACGCTCCAACTGAGGCCAGCTTCGAAGTAAGGGTCTTCATTCCTCTCGAGCAAGTCATCGCTTGGACACCCCTCCTCTTCTTTCACCCACACTCCCGGCGCGCAAACAACACACGTCGCGGGAGTCGGTGGGCTGGCATGCGTAACACGTGGCCGAGCCATCGGAGCCTGGTGCGTGAAATAACGGTGCTGAGCGGTTCATTTCCTTTTCCTGTGCCGTAAACAAGGCGTCGAACACACTCGTTGCTTACTCGGTGTTCCCACCAGATGTGTGCTAAATTGCGAAGGCACCGGTGGTCGAACGTAATTAGCCTCTGTATCTCCGTTGATCTAAGGTGCCAGGTTTCACAGCCGTACAGTAGGGTCGAACGTACCGCTGCATTGTACACTTTACCCTTCATCATCATCATCATCATCATCATCATTACACGTTAGCTGGAGGTGGGAAACACCTCAGCTATTGTGCCGCAATACAAAAGACAAGAAAAGGAAAACAAACAGTGGCACGCCCGCTGAGTCTCCAGTAACGGATGCACATCGTTCCGGAGAGCTAACAGCTGGCTGCCGTAAAAGAGAGTCATATAATGCCTAACATGTGAGATCGTGATTGGAGGGGGACGCTAAGCAGGAGGGGGATGTACAAAGGAACTCACAACACAAACGCCATTGGGGCCGGCTCCAAGCCATATCAGCGAGTGTGTCCAACCGAACGTGTTCACTGTCCTTAGGACCCCAGCCAAACAGTCGGGATGCACCAACCGACGCCAACTTCGAAGTGAGGGTATCATTTCTCTCGACCAAGTCATCACTTGGCCTCCCCTTCTCCTCTTCCAACCGCACCCATAACGCGCAAACAATGCACGTCGCGGGAGTCGGTGTGCTGGCATGTGCAACACGTGGCCCAGTCATTGGAGCCTGGTGCGTGATATAATGGTACTGAGCGGTTTACTCGCTCTACCCGCACCAAATACACGACGTCGAACACGCTCATTGCTCACGCGGTGCTCCCACCAGACGTGATCTAAGCTGCGAAGGCAACGATGATCGAATATGACGAGCCTCTTTGTGTCTGTCGACCTGATGGGCCAGGTTTCACAGCCATATAGGAGAGTTGAACGGACGGCTGCGTTGTAAACTCTGCCCTTCAGGGCGAGATTAAGGCCGCGTCTGCGCCACAGGTGGTGGAGATTGGCAAAAGCACCTCGAGCTTTTGCTATGCGGTTCGTAACCTCATCTTCAATTCCACGGGTGCTAATATAGCTGGCCAGGTACTTGAATTCCTGAACGACTTCTAGCAGATCACCACCAAGCTTTATCGCAGGGTTGGGTCCCTGCCAATCCTGGAGAAGTACTTTGCATTTCGATGGAGCAAAGCATAGTCCAAAACGATTGACAACCAGTGCTAATCGGTCCAGTGCTGTTTGGCATGTTTGGGAGCTGTCACAGATCAGGGCAATATCGTCTGCATACCCCAAGTCAAGAAGTCGCTCACCAGGAAGTAGCTCCACACCTTTTAGGTCGTGTCCAGCGAACGCTGTTTCCATGACTTCATCAATAGAGAAGTTGAAGAGAAATGGTGACAGCGGGCATCCTTGTCTCACACCGCTGGTGATACTGAAGGGTGGCGACAGTTTGCCATAAACCCTCACCCTGCCCGAACTATGCGCGTACAGCGCTTTGATAATGTTCACATATTTATCAGGCACACCTTTCCTCAACAGACAGTCCCAAAGTGCACATCAATCGACTGAATCGAAGGCACCTTTTATGTCAAGAAACACGACAACGGTGGGTCGCCAATAAACATGGCGGTGCTCCAACACTTGCCGCAAAGTGAAGATGTGGTCGATGCAGCCCCGATCTCGAGGAAATCCGGCTTGCTCTTCACGAATCTGGCTTTCACGAGTGCCAGTCAGTCTGTGGAGAATGACAGAGGCAAGCAATTTAGAGGCAATCGAAATCAAACTGATCCCTCTATGATTGTCGCATTCCAAACGGGAGAATCCCTTGAAAATTGGGACAATGACGGAGC